GAGAGGGCTTTTGGCGTATTGCAGGCTCGATTTGCTATAATTAGTTGTCCTGCAAGATTGTGGAAAAGAAAAGATCTTGGTATGATCATGAAGGCGCGCATAATTACGCATAATATGATAGTCGAAGACGAGCGGGATGAGAGCGACACCCTTCCAAACAATTACTTTAAGTCTCATCCTGCCAATCCTTCTGATGCTGCAGACATTTCCCGCGATCCTTCGTTCTATAGCTTTTCTAGCTATTTAGAGCTCCACGGAAACATCATTGATGCATCTGAACATTTCAGATTGAAGAAGGCCTTGGTCGCGCATCTCTGGCATAGAAAACGAAAAGGGTATGGAATTGTTTAGACTTCACTTCTAAATAAAATTCACTCAAAAGTATAGGTCTATCTAGTTTTAAAAATATAATAATTTTGAGAATGGAACAGAGGATTAAACATATTTATTGTTCACCATTAAGATCTTCTGTACGAAGTATTTCGTTCTCAATCTCAGCTTCGAGGCGATCCAAAGCTTGTTTGCGACTACGCTTATAGAAACGCAAAGTCTCTTCATCATCCTTGAACTTCTCCAAGTCAACGCTGAACAATCTCTCATCCAACAACTTTTGATTGACTGCCAAAAGCTTTTGGTTGACAGCCAATTTCTCCTGCTTAATGGCGTTCGACATATTCATCTTCTTCATCATCTCAGAGTATTCGTCTGCTAGCTGTTGCTGGTTTGTTTCCCAGTTAAGCAAGGTATCAGTGATCTTCTTGTCCATGGAAGCCTGGTTCTTGCTCTTTTTGCGTCCCTTAGGACGCGCAATGATGGATCCATCACTTTCACCATCTTCATCCTCAGCAATCACTGTTGAGGTCCGAACCTCAGTAGCAGCAGAGCTACCAGGAGCACAAGAAGCGTTAATCGTTCTCTTGGAACCTGCCTTTACCGCCTGTTTTCTCACGAGCTTCGCGTCTCTTCTTGCCATCTCATCATTCCACTTTGGACTACTACGAAGTACCAAAAAACAATCGTAAAAAGCGAAATGAACGCGGTATTTTGTTTGAAACAAATTGTAAGCATCCCCCAGCTATTTGTTAAATTATTTGAGTTAAACTACTATAGCCCTTTATCGATAGTTATATGATACGTACTTCATCTGCAGCAGCATTACCGCTTTTTTGCGTCGCTGGATTGCTGCGACACAGCCACAGTACTTGCTGACAGCAGCAGAAATGTTCCCCCAATGGTTTTTGAAGGCCTTCTCGTTTCTTTCTGGCCAGTCGAGCTCACCCTCCGCCTTAAAGTCGTTCATAATCAACTTCCAGAACACTTCCGCCTTCATCAAATTACCATGGACTGCCTGCTCCGAGATGCGCAACCATGACTTGCACACCTGGACATTCCCCTCGTGTGTCCAGCGGAAACGCTTCAACTTGCTGGTATCGGAAGGACCAGCATCCTCATTGCCACTTTGCTCGTGGTCGTGAGAAATTCGAGAGTGATAATAGCGAATTAAGAATAAAATGTGAAATTTAACAAAGTGAAATTATCAAACTGCAAAAATAAACTAAAGCTTTATTAAACAAATAAAAGGGGGTCTTTATATACACATTATTTCAGACATTGATCACAGATGGGCTGATGACGGTTATGTGTAGATTTATCCAGATAATACTCGGATGTAATGATCCCATATAGAAAGACCATAATGAGATGTCAATAACAATAACAATAACATTCATTCTTAAACTGTGTATGTCTTGTAGCACAACATTCAGGGGAAAATGTAGTTCTTATTAAAGATAGCTGTGGCACCTCAACGTGGCTGATGTAACCTTCATATGTTTTCATATTCATGTTATTATTTAAATGTATGCCTTATACTTGTATGAAGGATGATATGAGGTCAAGCCTGTACATAAAGTAAATGATCAGTATTTAATATAAAGTACCAATAAGAATTATATTTAGGATTGTCAAATGGAAGATTTAAGAAGTGTAGATAGAGTCATATATTAAGTATATAGCCTCGATCACGACAGGTCGTCAATTCCATGGACATTACCATCATCACTGGCATCGTTACTAGAGTAGTTACCGTTGTCGAAGTCAGAATCGTTGTTATTGCTCATTTTTATTAAAAATGGTTATAGAGATAAAAAGGGGTATTTTTTATTGATGTTTTTTTTTCCTCGAAAAAAACACTTCGGATTGGGAAAATGTATGGGAGATTTTGATTTCCCAAAGTTAAGGGTTTTTTATCGGGCACTGCTGGGGGTAAAAAACTTTTAATTTTCCCTTAATTAGGGGGCAAATCGACTTTTATCGGGCACTGCTGGGGATGCTCTTAGCATGGATAAACCTTTGTTAGCTCTAATATGGCTATGGCCTTGTTAGGTCAGCACAGGCAGAACTGTTTCGCCTTTAATTATAATATTACTTCCATAGTACACTAGAAATTCATGTTGCATCTTTCGTCTTAGTGAAGAGTAGTCACCTGAATTGTTAGAAAATTACACAATTACCTCTCAGACCTGAATTCCAATAATTCAGTTCCGTGCAGTAACCCTACATATTGCCCAATTGCCCGAACAGCCACAAATCTATCTTTCTCTTATTTTCTGCTTATTTATTTATTACTAAGTTTAACCAACAATATCAATTGGTATGCATTACCTTTACTATTTAGTCTATTAGTATTAACCCCACCATCAGTTCGTTTTTGTTTTTATAATAAATTTAATCGCCACATATTTTATTGGTGTCGTCTATCAGAAGATTCACTTAGCCTTCATCTGTCAAGAATTGGTCAAAAAGCTATTGTTTCTTATAAGAACTCATTCAATTGAATTAATTAAGTATGAGCGGTTCATTCAAGCCCCGACAATTTAAGAAAAACGAAGACCCGGTTAACTGGCTCAATCGCTTTCAAAATGCTATGGAATTGAACAAATGGTCTGATAAAGCAACATTATACTCGGTTTACGATTGATTTACTTCTAGCTCTGTAGAGTCATGGTTTATTTCTCAAAAGTTCAAGACAATGGAACAATTCAAGAAGGAATTTTTAATTAAATACCAAAAGAAAGTTAATTTGGAGAAAACTATTACGAAAATCATGGTATTTAAGATGTCGAGAAACGAATCATTTGAAAGCTACATTAAGAGATTTGAGAAGCTTAGAATGAATTACAAGCAAGAAAAATCAAGAGAAGACCTTACATTAGTATCGCGTAACAAAATCAAAGAGAAAGATGCCATACCTGATCTTACCCCCGTCCAAGAAAACAACTTGATCATTAACCTCAACCAATACAACCTGATGAAGTATTTTAAGAACGGTATCCGCTCGAAACGTTTGAAGCGCTATGATAAATACGCCCACCCCGAAACTTTGGAAGATATTTTTTGACGCTTAGGGAATACGGTGATTCCGACTATTCAGATTCCGAAGAAAATCAATCTTCAGATGACAGTTCAGATGGCGAAGATAACGGAGATAGTTCTAGTGCTGACGATTTGCCATTAGAAGATAAAAAAAACATTACAAGACCAAACAAACAGAGCGTAGCAAGAAGAAAACGAATGAAAAGAAGTCCACCAAGTCAGATATGGAAATCTCATCTTTCATTGACTGGTTCAAGAATTTATCACTCATGCTGGGCCAATTGGTTGAAAAATCAACAGCTCCTCAACCAAGTCAAGTCCCCATCAAGCCACCAATGAGAAGTAACGGAATTATCTGTTACAACTATTAAGAACCCAACCACATTGCAGATAATTGCCCCAAACCTTGTAAATTATGCAATGATTATAGTCACGTTTATTACAAATGCAGCCGATATGTTCGTAAACCATTCGTCAATCAAGAGGAACAAGGCAAACCCACGGTCATGCTCATGGATTTCTTGCTAGTAGAAAAAAGGAGTCATGAAACAGACTCTGATAACAAAGTTACTGTCAACGTAGTCAATGATCATAAAAAGAGGAAGTTCCCTATCGAAGTTACACCTACTACTCTTACTCCTACCACATTTACTTCTCCCACTATTAGTAAAAATAAGACCATGACTAAGGAATGGACATCAGATATCAAGTATCAACAAGACAAGGCTATCAAACGCAGACAAGATAACAAGGATGAGCGTAACAAGTTTATGGAAGATATCATAAGCAGACCCGTTTATAACGTCTCTCTACTTGACCTTTGTAAGCTTTCAGGAGATAATGCACGCACCTTAGTTACGTCAGCAATCACTAGACCCCAAAGAAATCCAAGAAAAACTAAGAAGATTGACAGCAAGTTGACAAATTTCTTGATTGAAGAAGATGACTCCTTTGGTCATGCTGATAGTTCGTCGACTGAAGACCATCTGTCTTCATCTGAAGCGGAATCTGATCCAGAAGTAAGAGGTCAAGAAAAAATCAAGTTCCCCAATCTTCCTAAGGGTAATTCATTCCCCAGAGTACATGGTATGATTAATGACCTACCATGCGAGATGATCCTGGACACTGGCTGCACCCCATTTGTAATCAGCAAGAAATTCTTAACAAACAAGTTGGGTATTACCCCAACCACTTTTACACCCACGGATCTTTCATTAGTACTAGGAGATGGTACTCAAACTAGTGGCGATGATGTTATTGAAGGTTTAAAACATGTCGTAAATGGTACAGTTTCCGCCACTATCAATGCTATGATCATGGATGTAGGTGACAAATATGATTTTATCATAGGAAGAGTTGGCATGCATCAGTTGAGAATTTGTACGGACTGGCCTAACCACCATTGGTATTTCATCCTCCCGGATAACGTCAATGTTACTGCCGATGTTCACTATTACGATGATCGTGAAGCTAAATCCAAGTTCCGTAGCGCAAAACCGGATAATCCTGAGTTTTTGCTAATGATGGCCTCTGACTACGAAGACCTCAAGGATGTCCAATTGGAATTTAACAAGATTTATCTGAACCCAAAGGATACTCATGTTAATGAAAAAGGTGATTTATTAATGGTTCCTCCAAACCTGACTGGTATATCTCCGAATACGGAATGTGAAGTAGAGGAAGATGACCGTCGATTGGGTACACTCTGTCAAAGGATTAGGCAAAATCCGCTATTAAATCAAGACCAACAATATCAGTTGGCTGCACTGGTTTTGAAATACGTTGACTGCTTTGGAGTGGACTACCAAGACCTCTCTCAAACCAACCTCTGTGAGTTCCATGTAGATACCGGTAATGCTAAGCCTATTTACAACAGACCTTATTCGTTTGTGTCTCATTCAGAGAAAGAGCTATTGAAGAAAGACCTGGAGAAAATGGTTGATACCGGAGTGTTAATCCCAAATCATTATCCACCCTCCAATTCAAAGAATCAAGGATGGTCTTTTCCGTGTAGATATGTTGATAAGAAAACTGGTGACAAAAGATTGGTTTCCAATTTTATTACTCATAAAAAGGTGACTGTAAGGGATAAGTGGCCATTGTCTGACCTGACGTCAGTAATCGAAGACCTAGGAAAGTCCAAGGTGTATTCTGCGCTGGATTTACTGAAGGGTTTTTACCAAATCGCTGTCCATAAGGATTCAATTCCTAAATTAACAATCACTACTCCCTGGGGTTGTTATTCGTATAGAGCTCTACCATTCGGAGTTATCAACGGGCCAAGTTGTTTTAGTTGTGCCATTAATCTGGCCATGCAACCATTTCTGAACAAATCTGTTACTGTATACTTGGATGATTGCACAGTCCATTCGCTCACCATTGAAGATCAATTTCTTGAACTTGAAAAGGTCTTCAAACGAATGATTGAAGTGAAAATGAAATTGAATGCGAATAAATGTGATCTGGTGGTTGACAAGGTAGACTTGCTAGGTTTCGAGGTTACACCCTATGGTATTTCTCCATTGAAGTCAAAAACAGAGAAGATTGTAAATTTTCTCAAACCTACCAATCAAACTGGTATAAGGGCGTATGTTAATCTATGTGGTTTTTACCGTCGTCATATAATGCTATTTGCTGACATAGCAGCCCCTTTGAATGAACTCCTCAAGAAAAACACGCCATGGAACTGGACCGAAAGTTGCGAAAAATCCTTGAATGTGTTGAGAAAGGCCTTGATTAATGCAGCTGTATTAAATTTCCCGGATCCTAAAATGCCATATCGGTTATACACAGAAGCTTCCGACTTAGCCATTGGTGCTTGTCTGGCACAGGACAATCAGGAAGGAGATGAAAGGCCTGTGTGTTTCATGTCGAGAAAACTACAACCGGGTGAAATAAGATTGCCCATTGTAGAGAAGGAAATTCTAAGCGTTACAACTTCAATTAAGAAGTTCCCCAAGTACCTTATGGATAAACCTTTTACATTGTATACGGACAATCAAGCCGTAGCATAGCTGTCAAAAAAGTCTGAACCGAGTCAAAAACTGCAAAGATGGGTTATGGCGTTACAAGAATTCCAATTCGAAGTGGTCAACATTAAATCTAAATTGAACCCAGTTGTTGATGCTTTGTCTCGCTACCCTGCTGAAAACACCAAAGAAGAAGATGATGTTCTAGGTTTGGATGATTTAGATAATATTTACGATCATTTTTTAATGGAAATTGAAGAGTTACCTGAAATGTCTTATGAGCAAGACCTGTTGGATATCTACCGTGCATTGCGAAATCCCGGTGAAAACATGGCCAGGAGTAGAGCTTTCAAAACCAAGATGCAATCTTTCAAAATACTAGATAAAATGCTATACAGAAGAGTTGGACAACGTTTACTAATCGTCCCATATATATCTACTAGACGGAAAATACTGCAAGAAATTCACGATGGTCACCGGCATTACGGCCAGAACGCATCATGGGCAAGGTTGTATGCAAGTTATTGGTGGCGAAACTCTTACAATGAATTAAAGGAATACGTTGCTAGTTGCGTCCCTTGTCAATTGTTCGCTGGTGTGGACAAGATTAAGTTACCTACAAAACCAGAAGTAAATCAATACAATCTTTTCGAACAATTTTCAATTGACTACGTCGGTCCGTTTCCCGAATCAAAATCCTGTAACAAGTACATTCTGGTAGCGGTTGAGCATTTCTCCCGTTGGCCGTTGGCTATTCCCTGCAAGTCAGCTGACGCTACCACCACTGCTCGCTTTGTAAGCGAACAAATCTTCTGCCAATTTGGTCCACCTACTCATCTGTTAAGTGATAACGCAAAACATTTTGACAATGAAATACTCCCGTTGTTGTTGCACATGATTAAAACGCATCAAAAATTCTCAAACCCATACCAGCCACAAACGAATCAGATGTGTAAAAAATTGAATGGTACTCTCGCTGGTTCTCTAAACAAATGGGCAATAAATGATCCGCATAATTGGGACAAGTATATCCCTGGTGTCTTATACGCATATAGAACAAAGGTGCATGCTACTATAGGAATTTCTCCCTTTGAGTTACTTTATGGACAAGAATCTAAAATTACTAGAAGAGATGTGCTACAATCCGTCGTTCAATTATTATCTTTTGATAGGCTACCTAAACGTCAAGACGGTAATATCAACAAGGTTCACGAAGCATCCGGACCTCTATTTGTAGAGAACCCTTACATGAAAAGGTTCACACCAGGTACACCAGTCTTGAAGGTTAGACAGAAGAAGAACAATAAATTGGATACGAAGATGGAAAAAAAATTTATCGTGCTACAAGATAACTTAAATGGATCGTATGTTATCTCAGACTTGTTTGGTAAACAGTTGAAAAGACGTGTGAATGCCGAATACCTTAGGAAATTCAACGCCAGGCCAAACTGAAAACATTACATATGAACTTCCCCCAATTTTCATTTTATTTTTATTTTTCTATTTTATTTTTACTTAGTACAAGATTTTCCCTATTTTTTTATTCTATTCTTTTGGGTTTTTATATCTATGTTATTAAACAAACTTTTATTCGATCCTCACAAATTTATCTTTTTCTACAAATTTTTTCAATTTTATTATTATTTCCTCCATTTTATTTTATTTTATTTCGTTCTACCCTATTTTATTTAATTCTGTTTCAAATTTACATGACATCAAGTTCAGCCAACCACGAATTCGTATCGTTGTTATATCTCGGTTCCTACTCCTTCTCTTGAATTCTGTGTCCATGGTTCTCCTGGAATGGCGGGGAGTATGAAGAGTAGTCACCTGAATTTTTAGAAAATTACACAATTACCACTCAGACCTGAATTTCAATAATTCAGTTCCGTGCAGTAACCCTACATATTGTCCAAATGCCCGAACAGCCACTAATCTCTCTTTCTCTTATTTTCTGGTTATTTATTTATTACTAAGTTTAAACAACAATATCAATTAGTATGCATTACCTTTATTATTTAGTCTATTAGTATTAACCCCACCATCAGTTGGTTTTTGTCTTTATAATAAATTTAATCGTCACATATTTTATTAGATTGTCGATACCTAGGTACTTTGGAGAGGCATAGAACTATAATGAATAGTCAAGATACGTTAGTGCACCAAGAACATACCAAGCATGCCATTTAATAATGGGTGCCCTAATATGTAACAAACCTAGACACACACCCGACAAATAACCGAAGTTCAAAACGTATGTTATGCAAATCGTTCACCGCTTGAAAATAGCAGAGAATGTGATGTTTGAAATATTAAAATAAATAAAACACAATAAAAAAAGAAGTAATAAAAAATGAGTCTCTATTAATCCTTTATAAAAGTTATGGAGAGAAAGTCATCGCAAACGGGAGGACGCTTTTTATATAAAACATCTGGGTGATTGGATCAGTTAAGTAGTAAGCAGTGGCTTGTTTCTATCTTCTAAAACATGGCAATTAAAATTACATGGTCTTATGTCTAGCAATACTTTCTTATATTGATTGGCCCAAATTATTAAGTAAAAAAATCTCAATAGCTGATATTTCAGTAACAGATTAATGAGAATCAAAAACAACCAATAATAATATCATTCCCAATATATAATCTGTAAGAGCATCCCAGCAATGGCGCTTAAAATCCGTTTTTCGGTTATATAAGCGCAAATTCGTAGTTTTTTTTTTTCACCACCAGCAATGGGCTTGAAGTTGTTTTATCTAACCGAAATTTTAAAAAAAAAACTTTAAAATTTCGCTAAAGTAACAGATTTTTTAAAGCCAAAAAAAAATTCGTCTTTGACAATAAAAAAATTACACTTTTTAAAAAAATTAACTCAAAGAAATCAACAGTATGTACGACTCTGACGACGGCCAAGCTAACTTGGACATGGTTCTTGACAACCTCATTGTTGACAATGAACAGTTAGTCAATGACGATGACAATACCAACGTCATGGACTACTCCTGTGATAATGACAGCGATGAGAGTCATGTCGCGGAGCAAAGCGAAGCTCTTTCCATTGCGCCTAAGCAGCGTCATGCTTGGACGACTACGCAAGACGTCCAGATGTGTAAGTCTTGGGTGGCCGTCTCGGAAAAACCTAGGGCAGGAAATTCGGTTAAATCATCTGTTTTTTGGAAGTGTGTTCTTTCCGACTTCAAGGCTGCCGGCGACCAAGCCTGGCCAGAAAGAACGGAAAAACATTTGAAAGACCATGGTAGAGTTGTTTCTGCTTTGGTCAGCACGTTTTGTGGTGTCGCTGCTGCAATTGAACAACGTTAGGCAAGCGGTAAAGCTGCTGACGAAGTAAGAATTACGATTAGATTTGTTTTAAAAATATTAGAATCTAGAGCAAATGTTTTTATAAATAGGTGGGTGATAGTTTCAAGCTTTTTGAGCGAAATTATCAGGTTCGATTCAAATAATTCCTTTGCTTTCAGGACCTTAATGGTGCCCCCAAGTGGAGAAGTGAGTTGAAGTGCAGAGATCGCAAAATCCAGGCGAAAAAGCAGAAAGTCGTGAAGTATAAAGTACCGACCTCTTCCGCTCCACGTAGTCATGCTGTTACTGATGCTGGTATGCCGGCAGCAGTCGATGACGATGATGATGTCATGAGTGACGAATCGGTTGCAGTGCGTCCTATTGGACGTAAAAAGAGTTAGAAGGATACCGATTTGGACACGAAGTACCAAGGGCTTTTGGATGGATTGGACAAGATCCAATTCCAAGGAAACGAGGACTTTAATAAGGTCATTGAAAAGATGGATCAAGCCCGTGAGATCCAACTTCGTCAGGTGGAAGAAGATGGCGAGCAACGTGAACGAGAAAGAGATGACGCCTTGTTCAAGATTAACTTGAAGTATTTTGAGGGTGACGAGACGGCATTGCTTTATTATAAGTTTAATCGTGAGGAAGCTTTAGAGCGATCTCGAGAACGATCAAGAAAGGCAAGACTTGCCAGAGAACAATAAATCTTTTGGTTTCTTTTTTAATCGATTTTATTTAATTTTATTATGTCTTTTTTCATTTCTGTTTGAGGAGCTTCCAAATCCTTTTATGTGCCAAAGATAGGACACCAGGGCAGCTTTCAATCTGAAATTCTCAGATGAGTCTATGATATGACCATGACGTTCCAAAAAGTTACTGAAGCTATAATGTGAACGATCACG